TCGGAACCCCAGGACCGCATGGTGACGGACCGCGGGGGACCCCAACGACCTCACCGCGCGGTCCGTCCCTGCACGGTGTCGGGACCTAGGGGGCCCTGGTCGCCAGCCCGAGTCCACCGACCGTGCGGTGGCCCCGCATCCCCACCGACTCACCACGCCGCGTGGTCGCCACCCCGCCCGGGGCCCTCCCCCCCCCCAGCGACTGCGGCCTTCTTCCCGCGCTGGCCGGAGCCGCTGGTGGTCTCTCTCTCTCTCTCTCTGGTGGTCTCTCGGCCGCCGGTCCGAGGGGCAACGATGGGGGGGGGGACTGGCACGGGGGGGCCACGTCGACCTGGAGTCGGCGGTACAGCCCCGACGGATCGGCGAAAGGCCCCCCCCTATCGTGAATCCGCGCACTCTCCTGCTGTGCACAGTGGGCTGCCGGGCGCCTCTCGGCGATCTGGGGGGGGCCGCTGCGTGCCCCCCCGAGCCTGTCCCGGTCCCGATGCCCGCTGGCTTTCGGCCATGGCTCGGCTCCCGGGCGGCCCTGCGGTACGCTCCTGGCGCCCCCGGGAGCACTCTCGGCGAGGCGCCGCTGCTGGAGAGCGCCCCGAGGCTGGCAAGCCGCCGAGCGCCAGCGCAAGCCTGGGAAGGCCTTGAAGCTCCCAAGCCTGCCCTCCGAACGTTGCCTACGGTGTAAACCGATGCCAAGAGACCCCCTGCTGGCGTCCCCGGTGCCCTGGTGGCCTCTTGGGTGTCGATGGTCTTCTGCCGTGGAAAGCGCCACCCTCCCACACCAAAAACCGCCGGAGGTCCTGGGGTTCCAGGTCGGGCTTCCTGCGGAAGGTTTCTTGTGGTCGAGCTCCTGCTGTCGGGGCGTGGACCTAAGGAACCCTAAATAAGGAACGGGGCCCCTTTCTCCCATAAGTTGAACTTCGATTTGCCATGGAAAACCTCAGGAAAACAAAAGACAAACTGCAGAACAGTCAAGGAACACCGAGCCCCTCCCCAACGAAAAGGGCTCCTTCTTCAGGGCCCCGACTGTACTGTACCCCCCCTATCGTTGCCCTGTGATGGCCGCCGCCCGGGCGCCGCGCGCCCCGCGTGCCAGGGCGTGCCAGGCGGCGCGGCCCCGTGCGCGCGCACTTCTGCGAGAGCGCGGCCCTGCAGAGGCCGCCGGGGCAGGCAACAACAGCAAAAAAGGCTCGGCGGCGCGCGGCGCCGTCGCGACGCCGCCGCCGCCGCCGCCGCCGCCGCCGACGACGCCGACGACGACGACGACGACGACGACGACGACGACGACGGCGACGGTAACTTTCCCAGGAGGGGGGGGGAGGGGGGGGGAAGGCGCCCAGGGACACACACAAATAGATAGACACAGATCCCACGATCCCCCAGATGTTTCCATATTTTTCTGGATTTGCGTCTTCCCCATGCACTCCCCACATTTTCCTGGGCATCGACGTTTACTTGTGTACGCGCATTCCCCCCTGAAGGAACCCAGACACGCTCGCGTCGTGAACAAAATAATGACGAAAACTGCTTGTGTGCTTCGGCCTCTGGGGGCCCTCGCCGGGCCCCGGGGACCGTCGAGAAGCGCCTCGGGACGCAGAGTACCTCGGTCCGACTGTAGCGCGCGCACGCGCCCTCGCTCAGAAGTGGACGGGAGCATGAAGCAGGCAGGCGTCGAACAAGCAGAGTGAGCCGCCGCCCGCCCACTCAGAGAGAAGGAAAAGGGAAAATCGTTCGACTCGTGGAACACGAAGGCGCCTGAGAAAGATTGGACCCTGGGAACCCGGGCAATACTTACAGGCGGACCCGGGCCAGAAGATCATCCCTCAAGAACACGAGACCCTCCGCCAGCCAGAACGCACAGAACATCCCCATGATGCACGAGAATTTTTTGCGTCGGCAGCTAGGCAGGGTAATTGCGCTGGCGGATGGCTACCTAAGCGGGGGTACCGTTGTAGCGAATTGTGCCACCATGCAGGAGGGAGGGGAAAAAGCAGCGGAGGCGGCCGAAAGAGACGGATGTACAAGAACATCCAACAAGCACGAAGAACACGAAGGTACCCTCCCGAACCCACCTCGATCTCACGCATCGGTCCGACTGTACGTCCTTCTTTCGCTCCTGAGCTCCCCCCAAAAGGAGGAGGAGGAGGAGGAGGAGGAGGAGGAGGAGGAGGAGGAGGAGGAGGAGGAGAGGAGGAGGGGGAGGAGGAGGAGGAGGAGAGGAGGAGGAGAGGGAGGAGGAGGAGGGGGAGAGGAGAGGAGAGGAGACGGAGGAGAAGGAGGAGGAGGAAGAGAGAGAAGGAAAAAGGAGGAGAGGAGAAGGAAGGAAGAGGAGGAGGAGGCTGGATCCATGCTCTGTGGCCACGGGGGGCCGACCGCGGGCCCGAGAGAGAGCCCGAAGTCGAGGGCAGACGCCGAGACGGAGCAGGAAAAAAACCCGCCGTCGGTACGGCTGTCCCGATACGCAGCACGCAACACGCTGCGTGTTGACACGACTGTGTCTCCTCCTCCTCCTCCTCCTCCTCCCTCCTCCTCCTCTCCTCCTCCTCCTCCTCCTCCTCCTCCTCCTCCTCCTCCTCCTCCTCCACCAATTGACTCAATATGAATACTACGCTTCCCTCTTCCCTGAGTGCGTGCTGGGAAGTAGTAGAGGCCCCCCCGCGTACTGTTTTTTTTAACCACACAGTGATTCCCGGGCGTTGGTTTTCGCCCGCGTTTTTGTTCCAAAATGTGGATCTCGCTGAAGCGCCGGCCTCACTTCTGCTCCCGATTTTTTCCGAATCGTGCTCCCGCTGCAGCGTGGGCCTCATTTCGGATCGGTGTTTTGCCTCCGTCGTTCAGGATGGCGTTCTCGCCCCAGCGCGGGCCTCTTTCTCGCGCGCCCATCCGCCCGCCACCACCGCGCCGCACCACGCCCCGCCCCGCCGCACGCACACCCACCGCCACTTTCACCCACCAACGCACGCACGCACGCATGCGCATCACCACCGCGCACCGCCACCACCACCGCACTACCCCACCCACCACCACCACGCTACACCGCGTCACACCACATCACACGCGCGCACACACAGACACGCACGCACGCACGCACGCACGCACGCACGCACGCACGCACGCACGCACGCCCGCACGCACGCACGCACGCACGCACGCACGCACGCACGCACGCACGCACGCACGCACGCACGCACGCACGCACGCACGCACGCACGCACGCACACACACACACACACACACACACGCACACACACACACACACACACACACACACACGCACAAACACACGCACACACACGCACACACACACACACAGACACACACACACACACACACACCACCACCGCCACCACCACCACCGCCATCACGCACGTACGCACCTGGCCCACCACCAAACCACCAAGACGCCACACCACGTCACACCACAGCACACGCGCACACACGCACACACACACACACACATACACACCACCACCACAACAACCACAACCACGCACACACGCACGCACGCACGCGCACCCCACCCACTACGCACACGCGCGCGGAGCCACAGGTCCGCTACGACACGCGTCCGCGGATAGAGAAAATCAGCGCCATGGTAAGGGATGGGAGGGAGGGGTAGGATGTCAGATGTTGACGCGAGCGCACCTAACTTGTCCCCTCCCCCTCTCCTCCTCTCCTCCTCTCCTCCTCTCCTCCTCTCCCCTCTACCTTCCTTCCCCTCTCCTCCCCCTCCCATCCTCCCTCCTCCCTCCTCTCATCTCTTCCTCCTCCCCTCCTCCTCCTCCTCCTCCTCGTCCTCGCTCCTCCTCCTCCTCCTCCTCCTCCTCCTCCTCCTCCTCCTCATCATCATCATCATCATCATCATCATCATCATCATCATCATCATCATCATAATATTCATTTTATTCTTATTGTTGTTATTCTTATTCGTCTTATTACTATTAATGATATTAGTATGACTCGTCTTCCTATTCGTATGGTCATTGTTCTTATATTCGCATTAATAGTATTACTATAATATTATCAGTATCCTTATTGTTAGTAGTAGTGCTAGTATTATTGTTATGTTGATCCCCTTATTATTATCATTATTATTACTATTACTATCAGTCGTGCTATTGTCATTCGTATTATGTTTAATACTATTCGATACTAGTGGTATAAGTATTATCAGTATTAGTATTATTGCTATTAGTCCTCATCCTCCGCTTCCTCCTCCTCCTCTTCTTAGTATTATGAATAGTATGATCATTATGCTTAATAATATCATTCGTATTATCAGTGCTTGTATGATTAATATTGCTAACGCTATTTATAGGTTTATTCCTCCTCATCATCATCCTTATCCTCCTCCTCCTCCTCCTCCTCCTCCTCCTCCTCCTCTTCCTCCTCCTCCCCTCCTCCTCCTCCTCCTCCCTCCCCCTCCTCCTCCTCCTCCTCCTCCTCCTCCTCCTCCTCCTCCTCCTCCTCCTCCTCCTCCTCCTCCTCCTCCTCCTCCCCCATCCGCACCCCCCCCCTCCTCTGCTACTCTCCTCGCCTCCTCCCCTCCTGCCTGCCCTCCCCTCCCCAGCGTGCCCTCCGCTCCTCGCCCCCCCTCGCGCGCAGGTCTGGCGCGATACGCTCACCGAGACGTGGGCCAACCACGTGCGCGGACGTGCGGAATGCGGCACGCATTGAGGTTCAATCCGTGCGCATCAGGGCAGCCACGTCCGCGGCGAGCCTGGGGGAGGGAAGATAGAGGGGGCGGGCCTCCTCAAAAGGCGCGGAAGACCTCGGGCCTTCTGCGAAGTCTTCTCGGCCTTCCCCCGAAGACACCGACAGCATCGCAGAAGGCCCACGTGGCTTCTGAGAAGCCCCGCCGCCTCGGGGCGCGCCGCCGAGTACCAGGGCAGCCACGGTCGTCGGAGATCTGGGGCCGCCGTCGTGCCAGCACACCGTGGCCCGACTGCACCCGCCATGGGCGATGGAGCGGTGTGCGCTCGAGCGGTTTGCGTTCCAGGGATCTCTTAAAGCTCTAGCCCAGACAGCTCTTTATCACAGGTCATCTTGCGACGGTCCTGGGGATGGAAGGCTGCTCCCAGGGGCCAAGAGTGCGTGGAGGGGGGGACAGAGGAGGACCTGGGGGTCGGACACCGGTGCGGGGAGGACGAGGAGGACGAGGAGGACTGCGTGCCAGAACCAGAATGCAGGCGCGCGCGCACTTCACTCAGAAAGCCCTCCTCCCCGCAGCCACCGGCCGGGCACGTTGAACTCAAGGATCGCTGGTTGGCAGCAAGCAGTTTGCCGCTGTCAGTGCGCTGGGCGCGCTTTTTTAAGGCTGCCCCTCACCTCCCAGACCTCCCAGGTCCTGACAAGCATCAGGGCGGCCAGCTTTTCCGCGGGTTCGGCCTCCAGGGTTTGTTGTTCTGGCCCCTGGGCCACCACAAAGAACTGCTCAGGACGAAAAACTTTTTCCCAGAAAGAGGTCCAGAGCTCCAGGCAGGTCTGAGCTGGATCGAATCGCAAAATCGGATCAAATCGGAAACCCATCGGATCGCCAGCAAATCGTCCCGAATCGAATCGAAATCAAATCGCCGCGCCTTGCTGCGGCTGGCCATGGCCGATCCCGGCGATTCGAACCGAATCGAATCGGATCTGAATCGCGGTTCCAGCCGGCGAAGCGAATCGCATCGAATCGGATCGTAGGCGGCCATGTCAGGGGCTACGTTTTGAAAAGATCGAGACATCGGATGGATGGGCCCCAGGAGTCGAGCCGACATCATGACGGACGCTCCTGCTCCCTTTCGGGCCCGAGGGCCCCTGCGGAACGATCCGGCTGGAGGGAGCGACGTGGAACGATGAGGTCGAGAAGTCCTGTCGCGGTGTTTCCTCGGCGCCATGTTCGGGAGCGGCCAAGAGGGGGGTGTCCAAGAGGGGGGGGTGCAAATCATGACCGGCGGCATGTGCGCGGCCCAGCGGGGGGGCCAGGGACGTAACGAAATAAGAAGAGGCGCCATGAAATCTGGGGAAATATCATGACCCCCGCCATGATATCCACCCCCCCCTAGTCATCACCCCCCTCTTTTCCTCGGCGCCATGTTCTCCTTCACGACGCCAAACGTCGGGTCTGGCCAACATCCTGCCCCCTCAGGGGCCACAGACTTTCCGCCACTGCTTACCAGCCTGGAACATATCCCTATCCCTATGCTGGGCACCTTCTCATCACGATGCCAATCTTAGGGATTCCCTTATTTGTTGAGGGCGAATCCCTAAGATTGTCATCGCCTTTTGGCGTATCAATCTAGGGATAGGGATACGTTCGAGGCTGGTAAACTGCGGGAGCTGCAGCACCCCTGCAGATCAAAGGCGCCAGGGCACTAGCACTGACAAATTGCAGGCTGCCCAGCTGGGGCCCCGGGGAAGTCGTATTGCCTTCCGGGCAGCAGCCACCAACCGAAGAGTGAATATCTCGGCCTCGAGCCAACAACCGCAGTGACCTCGTGCCATAGAGGAACCCTGAAGGCAACAAGCTTGTTGAACTCAGGCACAACGGTGTCCCCAGTTTCGATGTCGACGAATGCACCGCCGTCTTCCTCCCGCCAATCCTTCGTCAGGTAGAGAATCCCAGCATACCCTCGGCTGTGCAGCGCCCGAACACCATCTCCCGCGTTGACGTGGACGTAGGCTTTGTCGTTGTGCGCGGGCAAGAAATGCCCCCTCGAATACCTAAGAGGCCCCCGGTGCGTCCAACGGTCCAATTTCACCTCATTATCATCCCCCTTTCCAACCCCCCCTTCCTCCCCCTCCACTCCTCCTCATCCTCCTCCTCTTCCTCCTCCTCCTCCTCCTCCTTCTCCTCCTCCTCCTCCTGCTCCTCCCCCTCCCCCTCCTCCCCCCTCCTCCTCCTCCTCCTCCTCCTCCTCCTCCTCCTCCTCCTCCTCCTCCTCCTCCTCCTCCTCCTCCTCCTCCTCTTTCCTCTTCCTCGTCCTTCTCCTCCTTCTCCTCCGCTACTCCTCCTCCGCCTCCAAAGCATCATCATCATCATCATCATCATCATCATCATCATCATCATCATCATCATCATCCTCATCATCATCATCATCATCATCATCATCATCATCATCATCATCATCATCATCATCATCATCATCATCATCATCATCATCATCATCATCATCATCATCATCATCATCATCATCATCATCATCATCATCATCATCATCATCATCATCATCATCATCATCAGCATCAGCATCAGCATCAGCATCATCATCATCAGCAGCAGCAGCATCGACATCAGCATCCTCATCAGAATCATCAGCAGCAGCAGCATCAGCATCAGCATCGGCATAAACATCATCGTCAGCAGCATCAGCATCACCACCAGCATCATCATCGTCATCATCAGCAGCATCAGCATCAGCATCATCAGCAGCATCATCATCAGCAGCATCATCGACAGCATCAACAGTATCATCATCACCATTATCATCACCACCACCACCAGCAGCATCACCACAATCATCCTCATTATCAGCATCAGCATCAGCATCATCATCAGCATCATCACCATCACCATCATGATCATCATCATCATAATCGTCAATATCATCATCATCATCATCATCATCATCATCATCATCAGCATCATCATCATGATCATGATCATGATAATCATCATCAGCATCATCATCAGCATCAGCATCATCCTCATCATCATCATCAGCATCATCATCATCATGCTCATCATCATCAGCATCATCAGCATCATCGTCATCATCAGTACCATCAACAGCAGCATCATCATCGGCATGATCCCCCTCCTGCCCTTCCTCCTCCTCCTCCTCCCCCTCCTCCTCCTCATCATCGTCCTCATCCTCCTCCTGCTCTTCCTCTTCTTCGTTCTCCTACTCATTATCCTCCACCTCCTCCTCGTCCTCCTCCTCCTCCTCATCCTCGTCCTCCTCCTCCTCCTCCTCCTCCTCCTCCGCCTACTCCTCCTCCTCCTCCACCTCCTCCTCCTCCTCGTCCTCGTCGTTCTCTTTCGCCTCCTCCGCCTACTACCTCCCGCCTCCTCCTCCTCCTCCCCCTCCCCCCTCCTCTCTCCTCCTCCTCCTCCTCCTCCTCCGCCTCCTCCTCCTCTTCCTCCTCCTCTCCTCCTCCTCCTCCTCCTCCTCTTCCTTCCTCATCCTCCCCCTCCCCCCCCCCCCTCCTCCTCCTCCTCCTCCTCCTCCTCCTCCTCCTCCTCCTCCTCCTCTTCCTCCTCCTCCTCCTCCTCCTCCTCCTCCTCCTCCTCCTCCTCCTCCTCCTCCTCCTCCTCCTCCCTCCTCCTCCTCCTCTCCTCTCCTCCTCCTCCTCCTCCTCCTCCTCCTCCTCCTCCTCCTCCTCCTCCTCCTCCTCCTCCTCCTCCTCCTCCTCCTCCTCCTCCTCCTCCTCCTCCTCCCTCCTCCTCCTCCTCCTCCTCCTCCTCCTCCTCCTCCTCCTCCTCCTCCGCCCTCCTCCTCCTCCTCCTCCTCCTCCTCCTCCTCCTCCTCCCTCCTCCTCCTCCTCCTCCTCCTCCTCCTCCTCCTCCTCCTCCTCTCATCCTCCTCCTCCTCCTCCTCCGCCCCCCTCCTCCTCCTCCTCCCCTCCCTCCTCCTCCTCCTCCTCCTCCTCCTCTCCTCCTCCTCCTCCTCCGCCTCCTCCTCCTCCTCCTCCTCCTCCTCCTCCTCCTCCTCCTTCCCTCCGCCTCCTCCTCCCTCGTCCTTCTCCTCCGCCACCTACTCCTCCTCATCATCATCCTCATCCTCCCCCTCCTCCTCTCATCCTCCTCATCCTCCTCCTCCTCCTCCTCTTCCTCCTCCTCCTCTCCTCCTTCCTCCTCCTCCTCCTCCTCCTCCCTTTCCTCCTCCTCCTCCTCCTCCTCCTCCGCCTCATCCTCCTCTTCTGATTGTTGTTTCTTCTAAGTATGAATGGTATCAAGTTTCTTGTTATTAATATGTGTATTATTCTTCTTAATATGATTATTACTATGACTATTGCTCGTCATATTGCTGTTATTAGTGTTAGTCTTCTGTTTAGTATTAGTAGTATTGTTAGTACTATTATTAGAACTGTTATTATTAGCGTTATCATTATTATTCGTATTGTTAGTACTCTTATTACTAGTATTCATCCTCGTCTCCTCCTCCTCCTCCTCCTCCTCCTCCTCCTCCTCCTCATCCTCCTCCTCCCCGAACATTGGACCGCTGGCCGTCACGAGGGGTCCCTGGGCACCGTCCCGCGCTGAACATCGCCCACAGGCCCCCGGCCGCCAGGCGCAAGAGCCTGCTGCACACCGCCAGGAGACAGCCGCATCCACGGCTGCCGGAGCCCTGCCCGGGACCCCTGGTGGACGGCGGGCACGGATGCGCTCCCGCCCGCGGGGGGCGGGCAGGCAGCCGTGCCCACCGCTCCTCGAGACGCCCTCGAGGATCCAGGGGCACGGCTGCGAGGCGGTGGATGTGGAGATCCGCCACCGTGCCTTCAGTGAGGAGTGCCCCAGTGCTCGTACCAACGTGAGTGTTGGAGGGGCTGTAGGATTCGTAAGGGCCTGGACGACCAATTCGCCAGAAATTCTCGGCGCTCCTGAGCGCTTCTGGCGTTGGTCGCGTGCGCCTCCCGCCACGAGGCCAAACCCGCCCAAACCGCCTCTAACCTTCCCCAAGAGCCTTCCAAGAATCGCTTACTAAAGCTCAGGAGTCCTCGGTGGCCTCAGGGGACCGTCCTGAGGATTTCACGGGGAGCCTCTTGAGCGGTCCGGCCCAAAAGGCCAAAATCATGGAAACCAAAATCGGACAAGTGTTGCATGATGCTCGCATGCTCGGCTGTCCAGTCTTCGAGGCGTTCAAGACGGTCCAAGGGGCCCCCAACAGAGCCCCAAGACGGCCAAGAGAGCCCGAAGACGGCCCTCGAGAACTCCAAAAGCGGCCCAAGAGGCCCTCAAGAGGCCCCCGAGAAGGGTTCACGAGAGGGAGCTCGAAGGGGCGACTGGGGCCAAACACCTCAAGATGGCCCCGACATCACCTCCAGTCCCCCAAGAGGCCCTCTGAGGTCCCCAGGAAGACCCCAAGAGGCCTCCAAGAGGCCTCCAAGAGGCCTCCAAGAGGCCCCAAAAAAGCCTCCACGAGACCCCAGGAGGCCTTCCAAGACATCAAGAAGCCTCCACGACCCATATGTTTCTCCAGCTGCTCGCAGGAGTACCCCAAGGTCTCAGCATAGCTTCCCACGTCTTGACGATTTCCGCAACCCTTGCCTTCTCGTGTTTTCGAGCCCTTCAAGGCTTTAGCATAACATATACGTCTCGATGATTGTCATACACCGTGCCTTCTCGTGCGTTGTCCTAAACCGCTTGTCTACGAGGGTTCTAAACAGCTCTGAAAAAAACTTATCGGTGGTTCGCTGGATCCAGAATCGGTGCGGCGACGTGGCCTCCCGTGGGCGTCCCTCCCCCTATCCCTATCCGTATGCGTATCCCTGTCCCAATCCCCTATCCATCTGCCTCAATCCCGATCCCTATACCTGTCCCTCTGCCTCCATACCTATCATTGCCCCTATCCCTGTTATCCCTGCCCCAGTCAAGTATACCTATCCCTATCCCCATCCCCATCCGGATCCCGATCCCTATCCCTAGATCCCTGTACACCCAGCCCTATCCCCTATCCCTACCCTCGTGCCCCCCCCCCATCTTGGCCCCCATGGTAACTGCGTGCAGCTGTTTAGGGCCTTCTGCCACAAGTGCTTCATTAAACTTACAAGATGAGATTTGGCTGAACCGCGAAGCACTAATTGTTGAAAACCGTAGGGAACAGCGTGATTCGCACGTTGTCGCCTTAACGATTTGAGTAGGTCGTCCAAAACGCCCCCAAAAAATAGAATCGCCGCGGGAGGGACCCCGAGACCCCAAGAGTGTTAAACCTGTCCCCAAGGAAAGCCCCAGAGCCTTTAACCAACACTCGAATCCACTAGAGGCCTCCCGAATGAGGTCCACGAAGATGGGGTCAGAGGATCGAGCCGCATCGCCGATAAGTCGCCGACGCGTCGGCGATGCAACGGGGACGTCGGCGATGCATCGGCGACGTCAGCGTGGAGACAGTCGGGCCCCGCATCGAAACGCATCGCCGATGCATCGGCGATTCGGGGCAATCCTCTGACCCCTTCTACTCTGACACCATCTGGGAGGTCTGCGTAACGTTACCCATCGGTCGGAAGAAGTAGGTAGAAACATGAAGTAGGAAGGCGTTGAAAGTAGATTGGGTGTCCGCCCGCCCCCTAAGGAGGACGGAAAAGGTGAAGCCACTCGATCATTGAAGTAGGAAGGCGCTTCAAGTAGATTCGAATCTAAGAATCCAAAACTACACACTTTCAACGACCGATGGGTACGTGGGCCAGGCATGGTAGCGGGATGGGCCGCAGGCCGCCGGATGCTCTTGGCAGTGGACCTGTAGACGCCGTCCAGCGCAGGCAGCCTCTCCAGGCAGCAGTGCTGGAAGCTGCCGCGCCCAAACCTGTCCCAGGTGAGATCAGCTGCCTCGCCCCTGAGGTGCTGGAGGGTCGCGTCTGCAAGCTGCGGTGGCAAGAAATGTGGCACAACAACGATCCGTTCCTTCTGGAGGCGCTCGATGAGGTTGTGCCGCAGCACCCAGTCTGAGGCGCTCTGGCCGCCATCCGATGCCATGGCCTGTTGGAACACACATGTTGAGCGATCAGGCGATGCTGAAGCCTTGGCAAAAATGAAAATGCAATTGGAGGCCGAGGACGAGAAGGCACGCTCGATAAAGCAATGATTGGGCACGAACGCCAATTTGGGTACGGACCGACGGTTTTCGAATACTGGTCGGCGCCAGACCCAAGCAAACATGTTTCCCTGTACCCCCACCCCACCACCCCAACACCCTTTTCCTCTCCCCTTACCCTCCACTCCCCTCTATCGCCCTCGCCTTCTGGTTAGCGTCTCAGTTCCTCATCTTGCCTCGCCTGTTCACACATCCTTCACCCTGACATCTCCTCCCCCATTTTCCTCATCCTCGTGCAAGCCGCCGGCGAGGATGGGCGATTTCGTAGACCTCCGGCGCTCCTCCTCATTCTGGAATCGCGTACCTCCTCCTCCTCCTCCTCCTCCTCCTCCTCCTCCTCCTCCTCCTCCTTCTCCTCCTCCTCCTCCTCCTCGTGTTATTATTATGCTTCTTACTATTCTAGCTAATAATTTTAGCATTATGATCAGTACGCCTATTCTTCGCCATCTTAATATTACTCTTAGTCTTCGCAATACGATGACAGATATGTATTACCATTATGTGCTTCGGCCGTCTTAGTAATGTTCGTAAGAATGTTCATTTAAGTATGATTCGTATTCGTCTGCGTCTTCTCATTCGCATATGTATTATTATTATTCGTGGTATGGTCATTCGTACTCGTATTCTTCTTAGTATGATTCATACTATTAGTAGCACTGGTATTGCTACTGTTCGTATCATTATGATTGGCGTGTTCGTCGTATTCTTAGTAGT